TTTTTCGGTTCGGTATTAGTTCCAGCACTGTTTTGTTACTCCCTTTAGTACTGTTAGTACTGCCAAGACATTGGTTCCGATACTGTTTTATAAGATTGTATTGGATTATTTTTGATGCACTTTCCGCTTGATTGGTTCCAATACGGTTTACGGTCTTCTGCTAAGGCATTGATTCCGGTATTGTTCTGTTTTTATTTTATTTTTTTGTTTTATACAAGATATTATTTATGTATTTTATTATTATTTATTTATTTACAAGTATTATTATTATTTCCTAGTGCGACAAGAAAAATTCTTATGAACTACTGCACCAGTCACCAAAACAAACAATTTTCATTGAACTTATAACTAAGTAGTTTGATTTTAATTTATTTTATTTATTTATTTAAGGCTTTAGACGTAAAAAATGTCATTACAATAATATTTGAAACTAAATAAAACTAAAGAATAAAAAGCCTATAGAAATTACAAAGTATATCTAATATCTGATATCGTATTGGTTGCAGCATTAGTTTCGGAACTCTTTCAGGTACAGTATTGGTTCCGATAATATTCTGTAACCTGGTATTGTTCCCTTCAGTATTGTAATAGCTAAGGTAATGGAACTGCTTCCGCTTCTCGTTTCCAGAAGTATTTCCCCTCAAGGTATTCGTTTCGTGATACTAACTAGTTCCACAATTCACACAAAAGCGCTCACTACTGTATCCACTCAGATATGTGAATACTATATATTTGTATATACATAGTTAGCAACTGGTTGGTGTTTGGTCCATTCAAGGTTTGGTTGGGGCCAAAGCACTGATTTATGTATTATACGCAATGCACATTATGTATAAATACACACTCAAGCCTTTTATATACTCTACGCAGAGGCTTATAAATAAATTTGAATTATGGCCGCTGTGGCAAACGATCGTAAATTTTGCGCATCGTTTTTACAGCTGTTTGATGTTTCTATTTTAACAGTTAGCCAAAAGTCCAAAGTAAGTAAGTAAGAGAGAAGAAGAAATAAAAATCGAATGTCGCGCCGTTATATGCACGATCTATCAATGAATCGGTTGCTGGCCGGCCTGCCAAGCCATATGCTTGGCTAAGTAGAGAGACACGGTGGGGTTATAATGAATGAATGGGCCTCAGACTCGATATCGTAGTAGTAGAAAACGCTATAAAGCTATCTACGCTTTGTTGTTGTTGTTGTTGTTGTTGTTGGTCACTCATTTCATATGCATTTCAGTTTGTATGTTAATTTGGTTAGTTTTAGGTTTCAACTGCCTTTGTTGTCTGCGCATTTTGGTGTCTTGGTGTCTTGGCTTTTGGTCTCTATTGTGTTGTTTATTTAATTTTAATTTTTATTTCGTAAATTTTAAATTTGTTGTCACTTCTGTAGGAGCAAAAAGGTTTTTCTATTGTCAACATTTGTTATTTCGATGTTGTTGTTGTTGTTGTTATTCGATAGTCGTCGTTTTTGATTGTTTTTATTATAATTGGGTGCGGTACGGTAGTACGAGTATTTCGCAGAATTCTTTGTTGAACTGCCTGAATCGCTGGTATTGTACAATTCAATAAAGAGCTTTATAGATAGACCAATGTTCGAGATTGGATTTTTTGGGAGTGTGTCTGTTTGTGGCTGTCGTTTTAGTCATGCTTGAAAATTAATAAAATTTATGGTTTATTTGGAATTTGCGTTGTTATTAATATGCCATAAAGCAATATAGAAACTGTGCGGTAAAATAAGTGGCAGTTGCCTATAAAGCGAGCCAAAAGAGTGGGAGAGGCTTTGCTGTTGCCATTGCTGATGATTTGATCTCGCTTGCGGATGATTCAGAGTGAATGAATGGAAATACCCAAGTGAAGATCATAAAAGGGAACTTGTCAATTGAGAAAGTGTTTATTGCGGCAATTGATAGACAAAAAGTGGCACGCAACACCCATCAAACATACACTCTATCTAATGTAGCAATGGTTTGTAGTTTTCAAATGTGCAAGATGCCATCATCTTTCTAAGAGCCATCACCTGAAAGGTTTTAGTTTGATGTTGGCTGGAATGTGTTTAAAAAGATACATAAGTCAGTCAATTAAAAAGAGTTACAAATTTATGTTGTATTGTTTTAAAAGGGAATTTCCATTTATCTTTGTCATTCCATTTCAATTATATGCATATTATTTTTAATATAATAAAATTCTCATTTGTAAAAATAGACAAACAATAAGTTCAAAACGATGGTTCCTTCCCCCTTGAAATCCTTGAAATATGTATTTATGAATGAATTAAAATAAATTGTATCAAAAAATAACTTTAATGTATTCGATTTAAACCTGGAACTAAATTTAAATTCACTAGAAACAACATAGGAGTGAAATGGAATGGAAATAAAACAGAAATATTAATCAGAAAGCTGAAGTGTATCCGAAATGGAACTAAAACTAAATTTACTTAAAGAAGTACCAGTATGGGACTGAATTGGAATATAAATGAAACCAATATGGGACTGAAATGAAACGAAAATGAAAGACAAATGCTGGTCAGAAAGCAGAAATGTATTTAAAATGGAACATACGTTAATTTAAGTATAGTACAAATAAAACAAAGTTACAAAGTTAAAACTAGTCAGAAAACAGCATTAAAGTGGTTTCTAAAAACAGAATACAGAGTATGAAAGTAATTGGATTATTGAAAGTAAAATAAATGGATTTAAAACTAAAATAGAACAGAATTGAAGTGCAAAGCTACAATCCTATTGAAATGCAATTAAAATACTACATTATTCAGCAAATTAAAGAAACAAAGCAACTTTTAAGAGCTTTCTGATAATGCTGGTCATTAAATGGCCAATGTTTCAGCGAATGATTGGTTTTAAATAGCCTTTTCATTTAATAAAACGATGACATATCTTCATTAATTTTATATGCCACCCATTAAGATGGTGCTCTTAAGCAAATTCTGTTGGATTTCCTAATAAATTGCCACACATCATTCGTTTAACAGGGAAGTGCAAGAACTAATGATATGTCTATATGCTGAAACTGCCAATTTGTCATTGGCATATGCAAATTGTTGCCCAATAAAGCCGTCAAATAAAGCGATGCCCAATTGAAGAATGCAAATCACTGCACACACACACACACACACACACACACATGAACAGCAGACAAAAACGAAATGACTTGCTCGCAAGACAAACCAATTTTGATCATTTTAAAGTTTTTATTGATGCTTCATGTCAATATCGCAGCTCGAAAACTTAATTAAAAACATGGCCAAATAACGAGCCACATGCATGCAGCAGTGCGCGATCCTTTTTTGCCATTTTGAGGCCACTTAATTAAAATGATGCAAACGAAACAATAACAACGAAAGCCCGGCCAAGCCAAGTTGTGTAAAATTAACAAATTTTGTGAAATTCTGTGAATGAAGCGATTGTTTCATTCATTGTGTGTGGCGCAGCGAATAAGAGAGAAAGAAACAGAAAATGAACAAAAATTAAAGGCCAGTCAGCCAGTCAGTCAGTCAGTGCGTCGAGTCGAGTCGAGTCAATCAGTCTGAGCTCAAAAAGCGAGATAAGCAGACAATAAATTTTGCCCTTTTCGGCGCATTACAAAATGTACATATATATCTTTTTATATGTATTTTTTGTTTGTCTATATGTATTATTTGGTGTGGTTGCACAGATCAGAGAAAAAAATGTTAACAAAGAGGCCACACAACGACGCAGAGAAACGAAAAACAGAAAAAAAAAAGAATTTCAAAAGTTTCCCAGGCCGAAGGCAGTTGGCGGTATAACAAACAAAAAGGCGGCGGCGTAGGCACAAATAAATATCTGTATATACACACACACACACATATGTATGAAGTGTGTGTATGTGTGCGTTAAAATGGAGCTGCGACAGTTAACAAAGTAGGCAGGCGGAAACTGACGACTTTAGCGTCACTCAGCAGGCAATGTGGCGTATGCGTAATACGGCTGCTGCTGCGCCACTGGTTTTTAGCTTGAACACACACATGCACACACACACATACACGGACAGAGATACACAACTGGGTGTAAGGCTAGCAAACGGGTTAAGGGCGAACGAAGCGCTCTTGACAGCTGAGCGCCAGCTGCCATTGGCTGCCAGCGCCAAAATGAAAAAGCACGCCCACTTTACGGGCACGCATTGAGTGTCTTTGTCTGTGGATGTGTGTGTGTGTGCATGTGTTAAAGAAAGTTGCGGCGTGCCACGGCAGCTAGAAGAAGAGTGCCAGTGTCAGTGACAATTGTTGGTTAAAAAGAGACAGCTGTACATTCGGTTGCTATTTTTTCAGCTACTGGTCTTCCTTGTCATTTGCATGGCAGAGCCTTGCGCTCTTAATTAAAATGTAAGCTTTTTTGTTGTTACTGCTGCAGCTGCTGCTGCTGCTGCTGCTGTGTATATTACTGTTGTTGTTATACAGCGATTTGGCGTAATTATGTGCGCACGTAACGCCCATTTGCAAACAGCAACAGCAACAACAACAACAACAACAGCAATAGCAGCAGCTCAACTCAACTCACCTGCCTGAACCCTCTCTCACACACACCTGCACTTACGCTCACTCACACTCACGCTCTTTCGTTTGCCTCATTCGCTTGTCCAATCGGCGTGCGCTCTTTCGCTGCTCAAACGAGTTTTTTTCATTTTTTTTGTGTTGGTTATCGGTATTGTTTTTTATATCGCGGCACAAACTCACTCAATTGGATTTTACTTTACTTTTTGTGCACGCTTTCTTTTGGTGTGCGCTCAGCGTGCGAGTGAGATGAAGCTAAAAACAGTGTGTGTGTAAAAAATACTCAAGAAGGAAATTGTTGTTGCACAATGTGAATGCTGCCGCCGCTGCTGCTGCTGCTGCGCTCACTCGTTCGCTCATTCAACACAGGCAGCTGTTTAAACCCATCAAGCTGAAGTTTCGATCGTAACTTTGCAGTTGACTCTCGCGCACAGAAGCGTTCGGAAGTGAAATATATTTTATTAATAATATTAGCAGTGTGCCCGCGCATTGCCGTCGCTTATAAAAGCCAAATAAGAAACAAGTAGCAGCAGTAACAGCGAATGAAAATTACAAAATCGCCGAGTGTTCGCTACGACAACAACTACAACAACCATCAACGCCATCAATTTGGAGCTTAATATTCTACTTAATTGTGCGCTAGTTGCTAAGACTAGGCTTGATGTCGTCTTCTTTGAAGCCTAAGGTAAGCAAACGCCATTTTGTCTTCGGTGTTGGCCATTTTGTAGCTACCGTAAGTAAGAGCTTTGATAGCTGCCGCAGTTACGCGCACGAATACACACGCAGACACATAGTTATATATGAATATACACACACACACATAAAGCTGTTCGTGGCTACTCGTTTTGCGCATGCGTGGCCACGAAGGTTTTTTTTTATGAAGAAGTTGCTTCGGCTACTGGTCTTAAGCACCTCCTTCTGCAGCTTTTTGACGCAGCTACAACAGCAATAACGACGACGACCGCAGCGACGGCAGCAGCGCCGAACCGATCGTGTCTTTACGAATGTGGTTCGGCTGCCAAGTTGCGTCGTGGTTGGCCAGTTAGAAGACTTAGCTGCTGCTTTTGTTATTGCTGTAGTTGTTGTTGCTGTTGTTACTGCTGCTGCTGCCGCCACAGTAGCCGGCTCTGATGACGCATACACTCATATACATACACAAATACACTTGCATAGCTTTACACACACACACTCACACGAACACATTGAGAAAAGACAGCCAGCTAGCCGCCGCTTCCTCTTCGAATTCTGCTCCTAAAATACACAAGCAACAACAACACCAACACCAACAGCAATAATAGCAACAACATGGTAGGTAGGCACGCCTCGACTGCGCTGTCGCTGCTTCCGTCAACGGCAGCGGCAGCAGCAGCAGTCGCTCTCGGTCGACAGCAGCGCTGACTACTATTTCTTTCAGTTATTAGTAGCATTCATTCATTCAACTTTGTGCCGCGCAAGCGTGCGTAGTTCCTCAGTTCCTTCGTGTGTACCTTAAACAACAGCAACAGCAACATCAACATACCGACAACTACAACAACAACCACAAATATACGTCTACAACGACATACATAAATGCATATATATATGATGAAATTATCTGTCGTACAAGTGCGTAGTTTTGATTTCGTTTCCATTGCGTTAGCAGCATCGCGTAATTCCAGTGCATAGTCATTTACAACAACAACATCACCATCAACGAGAGCAACAACGACTGCAGCAACAACAATTGCGGTAGCCATTTTCTATTTGGTAAGTTTCTGCTGGTGCTGCTGCTGCTGCGCAGTTACGCAGACACGTCGCACACAGTAGCCAAAAGAAAAGAGAGTGGAGTGAGTGGCGTTGGCGAATGGCGCCTCATGTTCTCGTTCTTCTTCTTCTTCTTCCACTTCCACTTCCAACTCATGTGCTTCGGCTTCTGTATGAGAGTGTGATGTGTGTGTGGTTTTGTGGCTTTGGCTACCAGTTTTACGCGCTTTCATTGGTCGCAAGTGCGCCTATGCCTATGCGTATGTGTGTGTGTGTGTGTGTGTGTGTGAGAGAGCAGAGTTCTGGGAAAGTAAATGGCGTGCGAGAGACAATTGGAGCTTTTTAGCTCTCGTGTGAAAGTATGGACTGTGTGGACAATGTGTCGAGACAAAATGGAGAACGTCTCTGAAATTCTATCTCCTGTCAAATATGTTCAATGCACTATTTAAAGGAAAACATGAATTGATCTATTAAAAATATTATTATATTCATTGAAGACTATTCTGTCTGTCGCATTTGTAATAGTATTGTTGGAAACTCTTTAGTTGAATGTGTAAGCCTGGGCTAATGAATAGACGATTTAGATGCATGCTATATGTTTAAAATACGCTTACATATAAATATCATATATTTAAGTGCCTACTATATGTGATGCCGACGGCAACTTTACAAGCACTAGTGCTTGATATTAGAAGGATACTTATACAATTAGCTTAAATTATGTTAACAGATCTAGGCGAATATTTCCTAAATTAGAATATTTGGGATATGAATTATGCAAATTGCTGAAAGTAATACTTTAAATATCTCAATCTCTCTTTTAGCTTGATGAAGAAAATATAAAAGATATAATATTGAAATGTTAAGTAGGATATCTACAGAAAGCTGTTTCAAAACTCTACCAAAAGTCTCAATATACTTAAAACCGAACACATTTCTAATGAATTATCAACTTTAAGAAGCCAATAACATTTATTAATATAATCATCTGGTGTTTGTTGCATGTTTCAATTATCTTGAGAAATTTGTAGGAATATTCAACTAGCTGTTTCGAGTATGATGTTTGTTGTTATTATTTATTATTACAACCAACACACACATTGCTCTTTCGCTTGTAAATGCTCTTGCTCAAGGTTTTCGGCTCCGAGCCATGTCAGAACTCCTGCTGCGTGCCATCAATTAGACTCTAATTAGTGAACTGACACTGAAATTGCGTCGCTAAGTTGGCCCAACTTTACAGCCATTTTGCAGACCACCACCACAAGAAACGAGAAACAAGAAGGGAAAATTTTAATTTGGACGCGTCATGTCATATTTATACGCACCAGTCGGACATAAAGTCCATAATGAGCACAAATTGTTGATCGAATCGGCTAAACGTTGTGAGAGTGAAAGGAAGAAGCGCAAATCAACTTTCTTTAAAGCAAACAAAGGGCATGTTTTCCCACAAGATGAAAAGACGCATTCGCTTTGGCCATAAGATTCGCGTCGGTGTTTTAGTTTTGTGTGGAGTGTACAGTGTAGAGTGTGAGGGGACAATGTGCTGGTAAGAAGGATGGACGCACACCTTTTGTGGTGTGCAGTTTCGCGCGCCTTTGTGGCACTTGAGGTGCCACACATGCGTTTCCTAATTGTTTTCACTGTGCCGCCGACACTTGGTCACTCTGTCACTCTGTCAGTCTGTCAGGCAGTCAGTTGGGCGACTTATTGGTTAGTGTTTTTCTTGAGAATTTTGTGCCATTAGCACAATTAGATTCGTATCAAATCGGCTCATCTGGCGGCGGCGTCACTTGGCCCTTTGTGTGGTTGTCCTTCTTTTTTTTATTTTTATTATTATTCGAGTATCTGCTCGGCTTATTGTCATCTTTTTGTTACTTTTTTCCACTTTTCGGCTGTAATTTTTAATGGCACCTTGCCAACTCACTGTCCGCCTACAAAAAAAAGAAGAGTAAAAGATGAGAAAGAGCGGGTATGTGTGTGTGTGTGTGTGTGTGTGTGGAAGTGTGGTAATCGCTTTTGACCATGTCCGTTCCTTCTTTGGGCGCAACGTGTGTGTCACTGCCTTATCGCGTGTACCGCTACACATTATCGCCAGCCGGGGTGTTAAACTGTAACTCTTCGTTCCTGGAAGTGTGTGTTCGAGGCTCATCCGTGGCGCACTTACTTACACTTCCCATTCCCAGTGTGAGGATTCCTGAGGATTGTTTCGAGCTGTTGCCGTTTTTGGCGCAAATCTAATTTCACGCAGCATTAACGCTCTTCACTTCCCACCTTTCTACCTTCCCACCTTCCCATCCTCCTGTGTTCTGCATTTGCGTATGCCCTTCAGTCAGCGTCAATGTCACGCTGTGTCCTCTGTCCGTCCCTGTCTCTGTCCCTGTCTCTGTCTTTGTCTCTCAATCTCTTCTCCCTCTGTGGGACTGTGTCTGGGCTTGTGTTGGTTATCTAATTATTTTCACTGCGGATTAATGGGATTAGCCGCATGTTGTACAACACTGTTTATTATACAACAAGTATTTACCAAACATCGGCTGGCGATGGCCCAAACATTTTTGGTCTTTTGGTCTTTTGGTCTTATGTGTGTGGTCTGTGGGCGTTAGTCGGATTGCTTTTGTCTGCTAAGCGGCTTTGCGAAAATGTTTTGAGCAAAACAGCAACAGTTGGTGGTCGTCTTTTGGCCAACTTCTGCAATTACGCAAGCTGTCGAGTGAACGCCCACAGCAGTTGGCCAACGACTTGAGGTGCTACTAAGCTACGTAAGCAGCTAACAAACACCTCCATTGATTTATGGCTACAAAAAATTGACATTTCCCCCACTTTCAGTTTGTAAATAGGCCTGCAAAGTTTGGCTGACACTTGATAGTTAAATATAGAAATTTGACTTTAAATCGGTTCATCAATTGAGAATATAGTCTAATAAATTAAGAATAAGTAGTTCTGAGTTAAAAAGTAGTTCAGCAATAAAAGTGCATTTGAAAAGGGGAAAATCTTTGCAAAATGGTAAGACATTTTGGCTGCTTAGTTATGTTAGAAGTCAGCTATATTTCTTAATTTAGCAAACATTTTTGATAAGAAGTGAATGAATTGTGAAGTAATTATTTTCTAGTTGTTCGAAAATGAATTTTAAAAATTACCTTAGCTGCCATTCAATTTTAAAACCTAACCATTCATAAAATGTAACTTTCGAAATGAATGATTTGTTTTCGATTTGCGGTTTTATGGAATTTTAGGTGGAAAGAAAGAAAGATAGTCTTAGAAATGCATATCTGGATTGAATTATGCTATATTATATGTCTATAATTATTAAAACTAATTAGAGTCTAGTGACCGCTTTTAATTGTTAATTTTATTTAAGTCGTAGAAGGCGAGGATCTATTTTAATTAGCTCAGTTAGCTTTAGTTCAGGCTGATTTTAAAATAGTAATATAATTTTGTAGAGACCTAGTCTAAGAGCAAAATAATATAATGAGTTCTCTACAGAGATATAGTCGCACTAATAAAAGCCTTTGAGGCAACATCAATTCCGCACGTCGACAAAAGTGTCTATTGCTTTCGAAATTTCTGTCTACGACCGATTTGCACAAAGAATTTTGCAGTGGAACTAAAAACTGTAGACAATATAAATAATTAATAATTACCGTTTATTTAAATGAGTTGAAAATTCCAAAAATTGTTGTTAAAAAAGGATGTCTATACTGAAACGAGACTGTTATTTCATAATCATAATCAGCAATCGGCCTCTTTTTGAATCCGTCGACCAACATGTGACTTTAAATGCTTAGCAACCATTATCCAATAAAGTGCTTGAGTTATCTAGGCGCTACTCCACTTTTCCATTCAAAGTTATGCGCTCTAGACGCCAACTGGTGGTATGCTGAGTAAGAAAACAAGAAAGAACAATCGAAAATTTAAAACCAAAAATCCGAAATAACAATGCCATTATTATGCTCTGATGCAGGCGCCCTGTGTCGCATGATTAACGGCGTTAAAATGCCAATGTGACGCCACATTGTGTACACAAATTAACATGGTCCAGGTCCAGGTCCACGTCCAACTCCAGCTTCAGTTCCAGGTTCAGGTTGAGGTTGAGGAGGTTGACCATAGCCTGCGTTCCAGTGTTATAATTTGAATATGTTTAGTGGGCATTAATGTTATAATGACAAAACCTGCGAGTTGGCTACGGTCGGTGCAGCACCCGCTGTGCCTCTTGTTGCCTTTGTTGTTGTTGTTTTTGTCAACGTGCTGCGGCCCCAAAACTACCAAAAGTTCTCCAGCTGCGCTCACACACACACACACACACACACACACACACTCACGCATACAGTAAATAAATATTGAAATCGGCATCAGGAGCGTATCGAAGTCGTTATAGTCGTCGTTGTTGTCTCTGCTTCGGCTACCAGTCAGCAAAGCTTTTGTTTGTCCGCAGAAATGGAAATACATGTGAAAAATTCCAAAAAAAAATCAGTTCGAAAATGCTATCCAGCGGCGCCGAAATGACAAAAATAAAATTAAATAAAAAATAACAGTTGTTAACTACTGAGCAGCCGTGCCAGGACATCGGCCAGCCTGCGAACGATCAGCTATCAGCATGGGCTTTTGTGTTCAAGGCAGCTTTTAAAAAGCGCATTAATTTATGCGACTTGGCAGGCGCCAATTAAAAATAAACTTGTTACCAAGAAGCGGGCAAGAAGGCGGCTCGAAAACTGACAACAATTATTGCATTATTTGTGTAAATACAGTACAGACACGGAATGAAATTATTTACACTTATGTATACAACAATATATACTAGTACAGTTTTAAAAAACACTGCTTTAATGATAGTTCTTATTATTTTTCTGTGTTATTAGTCACCTGCTTTACGTTATATTTCCGCATTTGGATGGAGACCAATGCCCTAGTTGTAAATTTATGGATTTGCAGATACTTATTGCTCATTAAAAAAAATCTCCATGATTAGGAATTCTACACATGAAAAATTTGTCCTCAAATATCCACCAGCTAATTAGATAATTAGATAGATTTTGATCGGGATATTAACAGACGATAGCTTGCCAGATGCAATTGTTTATGTCAATGAACATTTCGTGAAACGTGATGAGAAATGTGGTTTTAAAATGTTCCCCACTTACATACTATTTCATTCATATGTAGCTAACTATATAAACCATAAACTGTTTAAATATATAGCACGCAATATGTAGAAATATGCTCACCATTTCATTTCACCAGTATGCCTTGACTACCATAATATGTATTATTTTAATTGAAATCATTAATAGTTGTGGGCTGACATACAGTTTTCTTCTATAAATATGTTCTTTGGAATTTACTTTTCAACACATATTTGTAAACAAACACAAATTTGAATGCAAATTGATTGCATAACTGAATATGTTCTTGTCAGTTTATAGTGTATTTGGAAATTTGCGATTTTAAATGAATGAAAAATATATTTGAGCACTAGAAAACGACAAAGAGGGACGAATTGGGAGCCTCTGAAGCATTGACGCTGAGAAGTTATAACTTTTTATTTGGATTTATAAATAATTTAAATTAAAGACATTTTTTATGATTATAAAATTGGAATTTTGAAACAAATTTGAAAGCGATGTTTGAATGAGCATTAACTGGAATTTGGAAACATTTTTAAAAGCCAAGCATCGAAATTTTTAATTAAATACCAAATTAGACACTTTACATGATTATAGTTAATCGATCATTAAAAAATGAGTTTTATATATGCGATAGCTTGTTTGTGTCTTGTTTTAAATGCTTATATTAGGTGCTTAAAAAACTTTTTATTATTTTCTTAAGAAAGCCTTCTGTTCACAAGCCAAATAGGAACCTTATGTATTTAAATTTTCAAATTTGAAAAATCTACCCTTGTGGCTAATATATTGATGTGTGTTCGACAAAGAAAGTGGAGAAAGTTAGCAGCTAGTGTTGAAAGACAACAAATAGTAGAATCACAATTTATTCATAGATTAAAATTAGAAAATGAGATTTACTTTATAAAAACAAATAATTTGTCCACCATTATATTAATTTGTGTTTGGCAAGGAAAGTGCTGAAAATTAGCAGCTAATGTTGGGAATGTATTTCGGGCTAGCCAGAAAAAGAAGAATTAAAAAAGAGTTTCTCATAAAGTTCACCGTATTGCAACTAATTGGTTGTTGCTAGGTATTGAATGATGCTAATGATGTAGGCTGGTGAGCGAATGATTGTAATTCTTAATTAGTTTCCACTGTAATGCCTTACAAGCTTGTAGGCTTTTGTTTTGAAGGCGTTAATTGAACAATTGTGTTTAATGTGTACGGAGTTGCGGAAGTTAAATAAGAACGGCAGCAATAACAACAACAATTGCGACAGCTACGAACAGCATGTGGCAAGGTTGAGATACAACAACAACAGCAACAACAACAAGGCAACTACATAAATGACACTGAAACAACAGCCAGAAAGTTGGCAACAAAGCGCGCGCACAAGAAAAATTATAAGTGAAGGTTGAAGTCGCAGTCAGCAGTCGGTGATTTGTAAATGTCAACACCAAGCCGAGCCAACCCAAGCCAACTAAAGCCAAGTTAAGCGAAGTCAGGCCAGGTGAGATGCTGGCTGTGGCGGCAACTCTGACTGTGACCGCTTTAATGAGTCATTTTCAATTTCATGTAGACATGTGTGTGTGTGTGCGTATTTTTTTTTCGCGTGATTTAAGTTGACAAGTGGTTGTTGCTGTTAGTGTTGTTGTTATTGTTGGCCGCCAAGGTATTTTTTGCTGAAATTTATTGGCACATAAAAGTCGCAGGCGTTGCTAACTTTATTTAACTTTTTTGTGTCTTGTGTCTCTCTTTTTAGGTGTTTGTTTTAAAGTGCGCCATAAACTAAAAGCAGCAGCAGCAGCAAACGGCCCACCCAAAACGCCTACAGCGAACACCAACAACAACAATAGATAGATAGCTAGACGACAGTCTCGGCCAGTGAGCATTGGGAGAAATCACACAAACGGGCAACGAGCCAACGACAACGAGCTTGTGACAATAAAAAGCGTTGCCACATTTCACCCACAAACGTCAATTAAATTTAAAACGTTATCTTTACGGCGCTACAGCCACAGCAACAACAAGAAGGAGAACAACAACAACAACAGCAGCAGCAGCAGCGATAGCGTGTCACCATTACGCTTTGAGTACCGTTAACTATTGCGCTCATTGCACTCTTACACCAACAACGATAGCAGCAGCACCCACACCCACTCTCACAGCCGTGAGAAAGCTCATAAACACACTCAAAAAGTGACAATTGCAATCACACACACACACACACATACGCTCACTGAGTGCAAGAGCGCACATTAGAGCGAGTGAAAGAGAGCGCGCGCCAAGTGAGGTTGGAGTGAGAGAGCGCCACACACGCACACCTTGTCAGCACCTTTATACGAGTACTCGTATATATATACATATACATACACCCCAGGTTTTCACCCAGTACTGAGAGGCACGGCACGTAGGTAAAAAATCGTCTGTCAAAATGTTTGCTGTAATGCGAATCGACAACGATGACTGCCGGTCGGATTTCCGTCGCAAGATGCGTCCAAAGTGTGAGTTCATTTGCAAGTATTGCCAGCGGCGTTTCACCAAGCCATACAATCTGATGATCCACGAGCGCACGCACAAATCCCCCGAGATAACATATTCCTGCGAGGTGTGCGGTAAATACTTCAAGCAACGTGATAATCTGCGTCAGCACAGGTGAGTTACCAATTCCCTAAAATTCCCCTACAATTACCACGTATGTCCCCACACAAAATTCTTCCATCCAACTATCCAAATCATACTACACATCTACACACATATTGGCTACCTAAAATACATTGTACATACATATATACAACTACATATGTAAGTAGGTTAAAGTGCATGTTCAATTTTATGATAAAGGCAAAATTTATATACATACGTTTTTTTTTGGTGTCGGCTATAAGCATAAAGTTAATGGAGATCTGTGTGAGTGCGTGCAGGAAAGTGGTAATTAAGTCCGATAGCTCGCAAATGTTGCTGCGCAGTTAAGTAAAAGCAGTTAAGAGCTTTAAAGGAGTGTTGGGCCAAGAGAATATGGGGAGAAATGTGAAAATGAAAGTGAAAAGGTCTAAAATAGTTATTAAAATAGGCATTATAGTAGAAGTGGGACATTTCTTGTGATCCTTAAATTATATTCAATTTCTCAATTCGGGATAGTCTTGAATAATGAAGGAAGTATTTGAACTTGCAGTTTATGGTTTAAAACACATTCCATAAATGCACCTCTTTTAGTTTTCTTCCGATTAAATTCGAACTATATTTACTGTTTTTGCTTTCTACCTAGTCATTATAAATAATAATAATAGTGCGCTGATTGGCCAGAGATGTTATATCATATTTATTCTTGGGCTATATAAGGGTTTGTACAATAAATTGGATTTAAGAAATAAATAATTTCATTTGATTCGACTTTTAAAAGAAAAAAGAATTTTGTACTTTAAACTTTTATACTTTAGTGCTTTGAAATGTTCCCGGAATTCCTACGAAAATCAGTTGCATAATGGGGGACTTACAGTCGCAGTATGCATATTTGCTAAGCAAATGAGTTTACGGCTTCACAAAAACACTTGTTAGATAATGTAAATGGAGAATACTACTCTAAGTAGTATACCACATTTTTTTAACGGACTTTGCTTCATTTGTTAAAGGTATTTACATATATTTCAAAGGTATAAAGATTAAGATGACGATTTATTAAATGAGTAGAAAATAATTTCCATAGAAAACATTCGGAAGTAAAAGAGACATTTCACGGTTAGTAAAGACGTTATTGTTTTAAATGGATGAGGATTTTCTAGAACTTTGCTTTGGAAACAGAGAATTTATACATCGTATTTACTTGTGTTTTCTATATTTTACAATAAGTATTATGATGCTATTTTCAACATTTTTTATCCACCAAAATGCTAAATAGAAAAGCCTTTTGTCTAGAAAGTTTTGATATCAGTTTTATTCAAAGAAAATTAAAATGTTTCTTCACGAGCATGAAATGAAGAAAATACCCAAAGTGCAATATAAATTGTATATTTTATGGTCTTAATAAATGGTTGGAAAGTTTCTGCACGCACACACACACTTATATACTATATAAACACATATATACCAATTCGTGTTAATAACATCGATATACAGACAATGTGGAATAGAAAAAGAATAAAACCCAAGAAAAAAAAGAAAAAAGAAAGAAACCTATCATAAGGCTTTGTTATTGTTTTGTATTTATCACAACACTTCAACATCACTATTTTTTCTCTATTTTCTCTTCTCTTTTATTTGTAGATGTAGTCAGTGTGTTTGGCGATAAGCTAAAAAAAACAAAAAAAATATCATAAATACAATAAATAAAAGCACAGTAAAACGAAAAACACACAGAAATATAAGCACCGCAGCACCAACAGCACGCTCAGCAACTAAGCAAAAATATGAAAACAGCAACTACAATAATAATAATAATAATAAAGAACTTTGAATATTAAATGGGACTAGAGCAGAAAAAAAGACACACATCCGCCTACGCCTTCCTCACCTGCACCCATAAACATAGGTCTATGAGAATGCAATTGAAAATGCTTACATCTAGATGCAATCTAAATGAGTTTGATAAGCGGCAATTGCTACAGCAATAACAACAACAATAGCAACAACAACAAAAAGCACGGAAAATGATAAAAGGATGCATCGAGCATGCTTTAGAAATGTGAAATGGTCAGCAAATTATTATTTTGGTGCTGGTATTCAAATTTTTTGCTTATTTTTTTTGGCTACTTTATTTGGTTGTTTGGTTATAAAACATGCACATAAAAAACTGCACGCCCACAAAATGCACCACGCCCACCAACAGCACTAGTACCACCACCACCACAACCACCAGCACCACCACCAGCACAAACTGCAACAACAGACAACAAATATATGTAGCTATGAATGCACCAGCATGCGAATGAAATGTTGCGTAGAAATGCGCAGGCGCAGCAACAGCAACAAACAGTAGCAGTAGCAGCAGCAGCAACAACAACAACAACTACAACAACAACAGCAACAACAACAAAAATATTTACAATGATTTTTCGCAGAAACATACATATGGACACTTGTGGGCGTGCATATGCCAAATAAATATTAGCCTGAATATCCATCCCAGCAACATGTCGAAGTTCAAACAAACAGCAACATGTGCCGGCAACATGCACCAGCAACATGTCTACGGAGCAAGCAGCGCAGCCTGTGTTGTGAGGAAAGCGCAATTAAGCCAAAGCTTTTTGCGCTTTCCGCGTTCCAAGCAACAACAACAACATCATCAATAGCGGTGCTGCTCCAACAACAACAACAACAACAACAACAACACTTACTTTAAATACACAACAACAAATGCTGTGCGTGCCAACAGCAACAGCAATCAATCAATCAATCAACATCCACCACTTGAAATCAGCTGCAATCCTCTTGCCTTAACAACTTTTCGCTCCTCTCGCTACTTTATTAATTAATAATAAAATTAATTAAAATTTAATAATAATAAAATATCTAAATAATAAGTATTTTTATTTTAAAAAATCAAACAACAAAAAAAAAACACAAACACGTTGAAAATGTATTACATAAAATTAATAATAAAAACTATGAAATAAATACGCATTGTTTTGTTTAAGTTTAAAATTAAAAAATTAAAAACAAAAACCTATTTGAAAAATTAAAAAAAAAAAATATACACGAAGAAAAAAGTGAAATGAATGAAATGCCTGAAAAAATGTTTCTTAGTGCGCTGCAATAAGATTGTAAATTTTTTGCTATTTATATACATACAAGTACGACATACATACATACATATATAAATAAATATATATACGAACGCAATACATGTATTACATGCAATACAATCGTCTCTTCCCCTTCTTTCTTTCACTATCTATATAAATAATATTACTTTATGTTTTTCAAATCGATACAAGCTGTTCTTTTTTCGTTTCTTCTGGCAAAAATGTGTTAAAGAAAATGACTCAATTAATCAATCAAAACGAAGCCGATGTCTACGTATATATAAAAACAAAGAAATAAGTAATAAAATAAACATATTTATACAATTTTAAAAACCCAAATTGAAGCTATCGTTTTCTTATTGAATACGGGAATATGGGAACATATGTTGAGCTCAGTTCATGATTTTTCAGGAATGATTAAAATGATTAAAATCTATTTAGTTTTCTAAACGGAGCTTGACGCAAAGTTTCAACGCAATCAGATTTAATGAGGAGGCGACTACAAGTATTTACAAAACGCTCAGGATTATTTTTAAGGGTAAAAGGCTTTTTAAAGGACATTAATCAGGTAATGTATGCTTAAGTTATACTTCAAATAGGCAATAGGTTAGTGCGGCCGCTGACTAAAGAATGGTTCTACAGTCCTATCGCTTGCAAGAGCGACGATATTCTTTACCCACAGAGTCCAAATTTAATTGGCAGCTAAAGCTATAGCCACCTTAATGAGGTTATTCAAGCCTTATATACGCTGGATGGTGCTGTAGACTACGAGTGCTCTAGAGACTCCTTATCTCTTTTTAAGGGTCCACCCTAAACCACTCGGAACATTTAAGGTATTAATATATAATCGCGGTCTAAATTGTTTTTGTCGAGTGATAAGAGGGCTTTGAGATGAAATTCTACTAATTATTTTGAATAAATATTTAATACACCTTATTACCAATTTTATATGTTTTGCCATTAAATTGATACTAATTGATCTAATTTAATGATGGCGCTCCTTAAGACAGATCTTAAATAAAGAATTAAGATAAAAAAAAAAAAAATTAATTGGTGGTGTTTAAGATATTATATTTTTTCCAGTGTTTCTTCTAGAAAGCTGGAAACATTGGAATCTCCAAGTGGCTGAAAAGAAATGGTTCCAAGAAAGTAATATTCGTAGCTCGGCCTATTTTTTTGTGGATCACCACATTTTTTATGGGCAGGCTTGATTATACACTCGATTGTCTCAGAATTGTCCACTACAATTGTCGAAGAAATTGCTACAATAATTATTTCTACACCATTACAATTCAGTTGATTTTTTTTCTATCAATTCAACTTGCACCAATTGCTGCATTTAAGGGCTGCCTGAAAAGCTAATTAAAACTATTTAACGCCCCCAACTTTCTGCCCCAGTGCCTGGCCACCCTCGGCATGTTTTATTTGATGCCAATGGCCGTCCCTTTTGAACAAATTAGTATAATTTGACGCCTGCCTTACGAGTACAACAGGCAAATATTTCTGTTGGCATCATAAATCATTCGGACTTGAATCATTTGCCGAACCACAAAGACCATGAACGACCCTCGCTGAGTTCGTGTTAATTAAATATTGACTATGTTGTGATAAAGCATAACATTGCGATTGGCATTGGGCATGGGTACGGGTCTGGGTCGCCTGCTGCAACCAACGGCCGTAACATTATTTTCCTCATATCACCCGGGCGAGGTGTAGGCACAAATTTAAATGTTTTCAAGTCAAGACACACGCGGCAGGATGCGCCGGTTCTGATAATGAAACCGTTTCCAAATGCGAAACGAATGCCGGGCGGCTACTGTGGCCCGCGCTCGACTGGCATAGGAGCTGTGTGTGTGTGATAGAGAGAGAGAGAGAGAGAGAGAGAGAGCGAAAGGGGAAGTGTATGAGGGAGAGAGAGAGAGAGAGTGGCACAAGAGCCAGAGGAATCCACAGGATGCGCAGCGTGCGGATTGCAGCATGTGGCCATTTGGAGGCACGTGTGGTTTTCCAGCTAACCGCTGGCAAAGAGACACATTCACACTCATACACTCAGAAAAATAGTGTGTCGATTTAAGCTTTGATTTTTGGTCTCATTTAATGTCATTTGATCAGAAAAATATGAATTTGTAGAGTGCCCTGGCAAGTAGCTTGGCAAATTACCTCATTTGAGGTATAAAAATGTTGACCTCTTAATTGTTTCATAAATAATGCAAGAACAATTATGTTGTAAAAAATGTTGTTCAACAATTTTCGATTCGTTTTCTAACGTGCATTTGCCATAACAAATAAAATGGTCGCTTGACAAATTATATATTTGTTAGTGAAGTAAAATACTGTCTCCCTCATTTGAGGTATAAAAACGTTGACCTCTTAATTGTTTCATAAATAATGCAAGAACAATTATGTTGTAAAAAATGTTGTTCAACAATTTTCGATTCGTTTTCTAACGTGCATTTGCCATAACAAATAAAATGGTCGCTTATTATTCGATTTCTATTAATTGGCCAACGAGTTCGGAGAGAAATATATGAAGACTGCACACAGTTTTATTTAGACAGAAACGAAAAATATAGACCATCATAACTAATATAATTACTTTTATATAATAATATATATGTGTATTGAATAAATAAATTAAACTCAAAGTTTCTAAACCTTTACAATGTATGATGCAATTTCAAAATATTAGAGAAATAGAATAATTTGTTGAACCATTATTGTTCTTGTTGGCGCTGTTTGACTTTCAATGATGGTTTTTTAATTTCAAATAGAAAATATTATAAAAATAAAATATTTTGTTAAACACATTTTCTTCTCTTTGATGCACTCCACAATTTCTCTGAGTGCATTTAGAGAAGACATAGCGCTTGTGCTTCCTGCTGCTGCCAATGCTGGGTCTTATGGCATTAAACTAAACTGTTTCCACCTTCGAAAGGACGACAACTGGCGCTGTTTGACTTCTGCGCCGCACAATTGCAATGTTTGTACATAAACACACAGACATGCACTTAAATAAATATACACACATACATATGTATGTACATACAAACACACTTATGTACATTTTTGCTGCACAAATCTGTGCACATTTCGCTGCCTGCTGGGCATTGCGTTTGTAGCCGTTCGTGGCCGTTTGTGGCAACCCGCTGCTTTGACTGGGCTTAGGCTCAAGACCCGGGTCCCAGTCGCGCTTGGACTCTGCTTGCCCACCCACTTGCTGCTGTCACTGTCTAAGCGCTGGATCGCCTTTGGCCTGCTATGCCGGACTGGACTGCTGGACGGCCAGCCTATCAATTGTTTCATCGCTGATTCAACACTTCGGCTACCATGGCTACCATTTCCGTTTATGACGCAATTTAGTTTTCTTCTTCGTCTCTTGCTGATTTGTCACCGAGGCCAAAAAGTTAACGAATGTGTTTTTTTTTACTGTTTTTAGCTTAAGTGCAGATTTCTTAACTTTTATGGAATTACCAATGGACGATGCAAGCGCTTTGATAAGCAACTCTTACAAGTCACTTACTCGCACATCATGAGTAGTCTGGGTCTGGGAAAAGGAGAGAGTCATCAAATCATAATCGTTAAATAGTAACCAGTCCGGCTACCAGCAACAGCATCAATGATTTTCACAGCAATTTGGAATGCGAAATGCTCGTTTGCAGAGACTTGGTGAGGCTACTAAAGATAGATGAAATATTCTCTCCACTACCAGCAGGTACCAGAAAAGCAAATCAAAAATCACATTTCAAAATGAGAAGTACAAATGTTAGTATTGCAAATTATTTGAAAAGTAATTTACAAAAAACCGCCATTCATTGGCCCTGTGTTCTTAATGAGACAGATCGAACAGATAATTCTTCAATCGATGCTCTTAAAGCGAGCAACGACTTTTCATACTCTCTAGATCTATGCATTCGAAAGACAAAGAAAAATCCGACAGATAGCAGCAATCCAACGAGCAATCCAATAACACAGCACCGAAGAAGGATAACTTTCCAAGCGTGTGGGTCGTCAAGAACTGGTTGTGGTTCTGGCGGCGGTGTGGACGGCTCATAATTCTTAGGCATGTTTGCAAATTTAATTATTATTTTTTATTTTTTATTTTCAGTTTTCTAATTTGACAGAAGAAGCAAATAAAGCAGTTCTAATATCTATTGAGTGGACGTTTCTATGATGAACAATTAGACAGCTAAGAATATCATCCTCATAAGATAAATAATGCTTTAAATTTTGGTCTGTTCTTAAACTGTGGCTCATTTCGATTTAAAACTATTGGTTTTTCTATGGTTTTTTACGTAGGTTAAATAATAATGTGCCTTGGCCGAACTTAGCTGAAGCTGCCTTCCTCTGTTCATTATTAAATTGAAGGTTTAATGAAACATTTTTCGAGAGAGCTTAAAACTCTTCAAGAAATTTGAATTCATGCAGAGGACCGTTGAATAACTGTTGGACATGGAGACTAACCGAGAAAAGCATAGATTTGGTTAATCAGCGAGATTTGCGCTCGTTTTATGGAAATGGTTTAAAAAAAGGCATATTAACTTTAACTTTATTTAGCTCTAAAGAAACTACAGACACAGAGCTGTCTGTCTGTTTGACATACAAACAGGAAGCACAAAATGAAATTAGGCCAGATAATTTGTGAGGTAATAATCTTGTCAGAATATTTCGATTTATTTTCAGATGTAAGATTTTGTTGGCTATTTTTGTGAGCCACTAGTTGCGCAGGTTTGGAGGAGGTTCTTTGATAAGATATATAAACATTAACTTTATTTGACTTGGGAGACTTTTATGATCCAGCTTATACATGTAC